TAACCTGCCAATATATTGAAGAGATGCCGCAGTGGTTGTGAGGGTTGGAACATGCTGGATGCCAATGTCTGTGGACAAGGAGTGCACGTGGCTGATGTCTGTGAAATGTAGCTTGGTCGTAGGCAACATGGACATGGTTTGGAGCAAGCAGCAAGCTGAATTTGCCAGGTATTTGCTCTGATTACCATAATGAGTTTTCTCAACGTCTAGCTTGCTTAGTGAGTTTGCTAAGAGAGAAAGCTGAATATTAACGAGGTGAGTTGTTAACAAGGCATTTAACAAGCAATAATCCCCCTTATTTGACAATTCAATGTATTTGAAGGAAACCAGTAATGAGTGTCCTGTTCTCGCTTTCAAGTTTGTTCCTTCACAATGTTTCAAACTCAGTTGAAACACCAACTCTCAGTTGTGAAGAGTAGGAACCATCGGTTGAAGGGATGGTTTCTGGATACTAAGCATTCATTCCTGCTGGTCACAAGGCATAAGGCATGGGAGCAAAAGTAGGCCATTCATCCCAACGAGTCTCTCCACCATCCATTTAGATCACAGTTGACCTGATAATCCTTAACCCCACTTTTCTGACTGATCCCGATAACCCTTGATTTCTTATTGATTACAAACCTGTCTATCGCAGTCTGTGTATACTTCACAACCCGACCTTGACAGCACTCTGCAGTAAAAAATTCCACAGGTTCACTACCCTCTGAGAGAAGAAATTCTTCATCTCTGTTAAATAGATGACCTTTACTGTAAGATTATGCTATCTGGTCCTAGGCTTTCCCACAAGGGATACAAACTTTCCATTTATCATGTCAAGTCCGTAGAAATCTTATCTATTTCAATTAGGTTGCCTGTAATTCTCATAAACTCCAATGAGACAGTCCCTCCATACCTGGGATCAGCCTATACAGCTTCCTCTGGAGTGTTTCCAATGCCAGTATATCTTTCCTTTGATAAGGGGCCTAAGACTGTTCACAGTGTTACAGGTGTGACCTAAATAGTGCTTTCTTGGCTTTTATTCTGTGTTCCATTTGGGGTGGCACGGTGGCTCAGTCGTTAGCACTGCTGTCTCACGGTGTCAGGGACCTGGGTTTGATTCCAGCCTTGGGTGACTGACTGTGTGGCGTTCGCATGTGCTCCTTGTGTCAGCATGGGTTTCCACTGTGTGCTCCAGTTTCCTCCCGCAGTCCAAAGATGTGCAAGTTAAGTGGCTTGGCCATGCTAATTTACCCTGTAGTGTTCAGGGATGTGTAGGTTAGGTGTGTTAACCATGGGAAATGCAGGGTTACAAGGATAGGGTATGGGGATGGGGCTGGGTAGGATGCTGTTCGGTGGGTTGGTTTAAACTTGTTGGCCCAAATGGCCTGTTTCCATGCTGTGGGGATTCTATGAAATAAAGGCCAAGAGTTGTTCATTCAACAACAAAGGTTCAGCAACTGAAACTACAACATGGATAATTGAAAACTTAGTTGATAATTTAAAATTGACAGTTTCCTTTTGTGGGTCTAAAGTGTCAGATAAGTTCATTTCTTTAAGTTACCCTTTCCCACCAACATACTTACAGGTGTGATGCCAGTGGAAAAGAGGATCACTGTTGGAGCTTTCAAGCATTCTACCTGTGTGTTTTAATCCAGCATTGTACTATTTTAAGGTAAAATCAAGGGGATCATGTGTCCTGTACTGAATTCACCTAACAGCAAGCATGGTGGTTTGATTGTTAGAGATAAATGCAAAGCCAACTTGGAGAAAATGGCAGTAGCCTACATCAGTAGATAGACTGCTAGTCTCCAAACTTCTAGAAAACTGCTCAGCATGTCACCTTGTAAAAAATTGAGGTTTTACTAGCTGTTCATTTACTTCCAAGATGAAAGAGAATTAGGGTCTTGAGGAGTTATTCAGTGTTTGTATCTGGATAGGAAGCCCACGTATTCTCTTTGCCAGGGAAATAGGTGATGGGGGTGGGGTGTGACATGGAATAGGGACCATGAGATGCCTCAGAACATAAAACATAAAACTGTACCGCACAGGAATGGGGCCTTTAAACCACGATGTTGTGCCGAACATGACGGCAAATTAAACTAATCCCTTCTGCCTGCCCTTGGTCCATATCCCTCCATTCCTTGTACATTCATGTGCTTATCTAAAAGTCCATTAAATGCCCCTATTTTATCTGCCTCCCCCACCACTCCGGCAGTGCATTCCAGACTCCTACCACTCTCTGTGTTAAAAAGCTTGCCTCTCACGTTTCCTTTGTACTTTCCCTCCAATCTTAAAACTTAACCCCTAGTATTAGACACTTCAACTCTTGGTAAAAGGTTCTGACTGTCAGAGAGAAGGGATAGGCAAATCTCTCTCTCTCTCTGGACATCATCTCCATGTATTCTATTCATTGCCCCGTCAACAATACAAACATCACCCTTTCCTGACTTTTCTCAATTCTGATGAAGGGTCAATGGACTTGAAATGTTAACTATTTTTCTATCTAAGGATGCTGCCAGACCTGCTGAGTTTCTCCAGCACTTCCTGTCCTTGTTGTCTTTGCTACTAATGTTGTCCATATGTTCGGTGGAGCTGCGGAAGGTTGTCAAAGGATACAGCGGGATATAGACCAGTTGCAGATATGGGTGGAGAAACGGCAGATGAAGTTTAATCTGGGTAAGTGTGAGGTGCTGCATTTTGGGAGATCAAATGTTAAGGAAAAGTATACAGTTAATGGCAGGACTCTGAACAGCATTGACATATGGAAGGATCTTGGGGTTCAAGTTCCTGGCTCCCTGAAAGTGGCCATGCAAGTAGATAGGGTGGTAAAGAAGACATAAAGCATGCTTTGCCTTTCTTGGTTGGGGGAATTGAGTACGAGAGTCAGGATGTCATGTTGCAGCTTTATAAGAATTTGGTTAAGCCACACTTAGAGTATTACATTCAATTCTGGTCGTCACATTACAGGAAGAATGTGGAGACATTGGAGAGGGTGCAGAAGTGGTTTACCAGGATTAGAGGGTATGAGCTATAAGGACAGGCTGGAAAAATTCTCTGTTTTCTCTGGAGTGACAGAAGCTGAGGGGAGATTTGATAGAAATCTCTAAAATTATGAGATGCATGGATAGGGTTGATGGTCAGAATCTTTTTCCCAGAGTTGAATTGTCTAATACTAGGGGCATGCATTTACAGGTGTGAGGGGCTAGTTTTTTTCACAGTAGGAGGAATCTGGAACATACTATCAGGGATGGTGGAGGAGGCAGATAAAATACGGGCATTTAAGGGGCTTTTAAATAAGCACATAAATATGCAAGGCATGGAGGGATATGGACCAAGGGCTGGCAGAGTGGATTAGTTTGCTTTGGCGTCATGTTTGGCACAACATTGTAGAGACACAGAAATAAATGCTGGGTAGGGTGTTAATGAGGAGCATAAATGGCTGAAAATGGGTTGATTGCTCTGGGAGCAACCCATACAGCACAGGACCTAGAGGTGTAGGGGGACAGTAACAAACATGGGGAAGGGTGTTCATGTTCTGAAATTATTAAAGTCAATATTGAGTCGACAGCTGTATGATACCTGGGCGGAAGATGAGGTGTTGTTCTTCCAGTTTGCACTGAGCCTTATTGAAGCACTGAGACAGAAATGTTGGCATGGTGGTGTGTTGAAGTGACAGGCAAGTGGAAGTTCAGGTTTATTTTTACAGACAGAGCAAATTGGTCACCCCGGCTGTCTCCCCACTACCAACCACCCTTGCCCCCCCAACACCACCACCCTTTGCCATCTATTTTCAGTTCTACGAATGGTCACTGGACTTGAAACGTTAACTCTTGCTTTCTTCCCTCAGATGCTGCCTGCTGACCTTCGCCAGTAATTTCCGTTTTGTTTCAGATCTCCAACACTTGCGGTTGTTTGTTTATTTTAGATGCTGCTGTGAACTGTCCAAGAATGTGAGGGGAAGGTTTACTTCACATTGAAAAGACTGAAAATAACAGAATTAAAATGAAGCTAAGAGATCCACACAGATTGGGCCAGAGGAAGAATCTCCGTGGGGGAAAAAAATTATTGTGAAAGACAATTCTGAGTTTAAGGTTTCCCAGGTGAAAAAAAAGAGAACCAGGGAAGTGAACCCTCGTGAGCCAGGAATCACCTTGGACTGCTAAAAGAACATGGGTAACATTCTGCTTTGTATTTTTAAGTATAAATTGTCTACAAAGTGTGTTAAGTCAAAAGTGCTATAAGTCTTTTGTAACATTAAAAGTCTTAAAATGTGAAATATTGTTGTATCGCCATCTTTTCAGCAGTCGACTGAAGTTCAAATTTATTTTTAAAAAACAATTAGTCTCCACAGACACTGTAACCAGTGGCCACATTTCCCCCGGGGATGGATTCAGGATCAGCAGCAGGACTGCTTTCTGTTTCTGCCACTGTGGGGAAAATCCAGTCTGATGAGCATTTGACAGGGCACCTTTTATCATTTGGTGATGAGAGAACTTCATTTCACTACGTATCTTGAACTAACTCCTATAATGACATCACATGATCTCATGCTTTAAAACTCATCCTCCTCCTTTCTCAGCTCCCCAAATTTAGCATTGTTTTACAAGTTGCTTACTCTGGATTTGCTGTTATCTCCAGGGCTACAACTCTTCCTCCTCCGTCATTATTTAATTCATTTCCTCCATCCTTTCTTCCTCACCATCATCTAAACCTCAAGACCCAACTTCTTTGTACTGAGTAGCAGTTGCAGCCCAAGTTTTGGGCAAACACTGGGCAATTGATTCATCAGGAAGAGGGCAACATGAGTGGCTTGTCAACTGCAGCTCAAAAGCATATAGCAATATGACCACTCCAGGAATAACTTTGCCAAGCAGCACCACAAAACAAGGAGAACTGAATCAGAATTGCACTACATCTCTATGGAAGCAGACTTGCTCCGTATCAGGAAAACCCTGATTTACAACCAAAACAGCACAAAATTAAACTCTGCTGGATAAGAGGGATGGATTAAGCGCAAAACATTTATTATTAATATATTTATTATATAATAATGGATGATTCAATAAGACAAATCTAAGTCATCATGGTCCATGAACACCATGCATTCACCAAGTATCAATCCTATGTATACCATTTGCTCCCTTATATAATCACTTTGTTTCATTTACAAAAAAGTATACCAAGGTGGGGTGTACTGGATTGATAAAATATTAATGAACACTCATTATTTGACTTCAGAACACATATGCATAGTTTTTAACCCATTTTGAAGGCACAAGAATACATAAAAAGTAATCTGCATTTACTAAAGCAGGCTCTTCCAGCTTATAGCAAAGTACATAAGGTTAAAATTGGATTTCATTGATTCTTTTCCCAGTAATGTGAAAGTATCAGCTTTCATGAATAAAGGCCAATTTCTGTTGGAAAAATAATTATGCAGTCAGCAAGCCTCAGTTAATATGACTTGATTCTCAAACCTCCGAGTGCGCCAGTGCAGCACAATATACTGCGTGCTCCCAAATTGGATGGAAGAATTACTTCTGGAGTTGAGTTATGATTGTTCTTTGCAAGTCCTCCACTCAAAGATTGCAAGATGGTTGAGAATGCAAAGGATGCCAACTACAGTAGAACTGGCTACAAATACTGTAGAAACAGGTTCTGCTGTCTGGATCACAAAGTACCAGTCAGCGGGCAATGGAAGTTGGGGGTGGTCACATAATATTCTTCACGAGGTGACAATATATACCTTATTTAAGCACAGCAAGTAATTTTCTGTCATCAATGCATACAACTGAACGATGAACGGAAATACATAAAACATACTTTTATTTTAGTTTTACTGACAATTTTGCAAATTCTGTTTTGGTTCTGTGTACAAAAATCATTTACAATGCCAAGCCTTTTTTCCTTATACATCAAATATTAAATCTTCGGGAGATATCATAAATTAAAAATGTAATCTTGTTAAAACTTTTAGTGTTGTTCTTCATTTCATTTTTAGATATTTGTGCAACAGTTGCTGTGTACATTGATATAAAAAGAATGTTATTCAATAGTGCATTTGAGACAACTGTACATCTTCCACTCATGTGCAACTTAATTTGTGCTTCCATTTCATTTCAAGTTTGCTATTCCATTCCCCCATGATAGAGATGAATGTTACAATATAAGGCATTTTGGAAATCCATATATTTAAACAGTGATCTGCTCTGATATTTTTGGCTCACAAGGCTTGTTGTACAAAATATGAATATATTTTATATATACTCTTGTCGGAGATCATTGCAAAGCATCTGTTAACAGTTTACCATTACTAAATCAACAAGGCCATTAATTAAATTTGCTTCAAAAAATGTGTTTGTTTATACAGTGATGTTTTTGTAAAGTTCAGCAATTTGTGAACTAAAGAAAATTTTCAGCTGTGCCCTCTTTGCCTTGAACGTTGGAGTCAGAAGGCCATTTTGAACAGTAAACATCTCAGGATACAGAACGATATCTTTCACCTATTTTAAAAAAGAGTTAATTATTAAAACAAGTCAGCTCATCTTTGGACTCAATTAAATTCCAATGTGAACTGTGTTTAAATTCTGTACAATGAATCACAAGGGAACAGAATAGCCTAAGAATGTAAAGGTTCATCGAATTAGTACAGGCACAATAAAACATAGCTGATTTTAGTCTAATCAGATTCAAGTATTTATTCCTAACTTACATCTTACCTTTGTTCCTTGCTACAACCCTCAATTATCACTAGAGGTGCTTGTATTGCTTGAGTCAAGAGCATCATGATACTGCGTGCCCGTTTTCCAGCAGCAATAAGATACAATTCTAAAAGGGGATGCAGAAACATGGACATGGGGATATATGTGCACAAATCATTGAAGGTGTCAGGCAAGTTGAGATAGTGGTTAAATTGGTCAGCTCTCAGCATGGTGTAGGGACAGGGCCCACGTGTGACCTTAAATAGTAGGGTTTTGACACAAAGCAGAAACTCTTATCCCTACATCTTCAGCCTGGGTCAATGTTATATCCTGAGACTATTATTAACTTAAAGTTGAGATTTATTTATGTTCCCTTCAGTTGTCTGTCTTCTCCTTTGGCCTGTGATTTTAACATAGTTTGTCAGCTTTGAAATTTATAGTTTTGATTACATAAACTTCAGCATGACTGAGAAATGTACTTTTATTTTCATCAGAAATGTGATGAGATTGATATGAACAAATCATATTTCTGTACAAACGTGGGAGCAAGTGGCCACACAAGCAACAGAGAGAGGAAGTCACTTAGTTAAGGAAGGAAGAAAGCAATTGGAAAAAAAAAAGAATAGGACACAAAGGATGTGGCTCACAGCCAACAAAACAATTGCTTGCTTACTTGCTCAAATGACTTGAGTCCAGCTTCCTTTCCAATTCGTGTTAAATCTGCTAAAATAGCATCTTTTAAAACCTTTTGGAAAAAAGAAAAAAGCTAAATAGTTAAAGCAGAATACAGAAAAAAAGCATTTCTATCAAATAGAAAAAAATGTTGAGTCAAATTTACGCAAGAGATTTGCTGTTCCTACAAATTTGGTCTTTTAAATTTGGTCAGCCTCTTAAAACTTGCAGCGTTTCTCACAATCATAGTCATTTACAGTAATCCACTCGAGCATAGTATTCAAATGCAATTGCAGGTTGCTGCTAGATGGTCACACAGCTTATGGCAAACATTGCACAGAAGACCAATAAAGTATCATAACTGTTTCTAACATGTACTGTATACTCCTCCCTACCTGTTGCAGCTTCTTCAAGGCAATAAAAGAAGTGTGCATGCATACTTTGCTATTCAATCCTGTTTAACTTGATTGATATGTTTTTATTTAAATATGCAAGACTTGCCTTGTTTTTACACAATTCCTCAAATGTCCCTGTAATATTTCTCCTTTGTGCCCATGCAGGTAACACTTCAGGATCAGGAACTACAATTCCCACCAGAAAGGCCTGAAACATAAGAAATCAAAATGGCATTTGGTGTGAGACAAGACCTAGGCTAATTACTGTAGAAGTCTTTCTCCTAGCCTGAAGTTTGACACATCATAGTTAATTCATAAAAGTATTCTAAAATGGATCCTTTGAAACTTACCTGTGTGATAAAAGTGTGTGAACAAACATGTTAAA